CCCTCTGTTGAAAAGAATATATATTTCAAACGCATTTAATTTTCTGTTAATTTGTGTCGAGCAATAAATTTGTTGAGCAATAAATTACTGAGGCAACCATGTGTTTCTCAACAACTTTCAGGAAATGATAAAATTTCTTTAGCCATAAAGAACCGACAGAGAGTTGTCAGAATCAAAATGCGTCCAGAGGCAGTAAGGACTAGGGAAAGGGGATTCTCTGTGTCCAATACACTTTCTTTCCTTTGCAACTAAACAGGATCTTCAAAATGGAAGGACTGTAATTGTGATATTCAACTTAGTCACATTTTAGCTATGACTGCAGAAGAAAGCATTTGCTTCCCAGATTTTAAAGAGAAATGTCCTTTCTGTCAATATGGTAGTAAAGAGGTTTCTAGTTTTAGTTGTTGAGAAGGTTTCTGTTGTTAGTACTAAAAAGAAAAGCAGCTAAAATCAATGACCGATATCTTCTCATTTTCTTAAGGTTAAAATAGAAAATAACTTTAAAAAACAGTTCAAGGCAGTAGCAGAAAAAGAGACTTTAATTAAAATTAAAACAAAGGTTTTTGAGGAAAATTTTAAAAACTCAATTTTTCCAAAAGGCAGAAAAATAGTAATAAAAAAGAATAATAAAAGGAACATAATAATAAAAGAAAGAAAAATAATAATCTGACAGGAGAGCCTAGGCAATCGAACAAGTTGTTTTAAAAGTTAGGACTGGTGAACTTTTCTAAATTTTTCTGTATTTTATGTATTTCTTATAAAAAGCACATATGACTTCCGAAATTTGGATAGAGGTAGGAAGACCAATGGTAAGTTTTGAAACATCTATTCACCAAGTCACGTACCTATTTCCCTAAGGATTACACTGTTTACTTCATCACCTTGTATGGTTTAGAATGTAGTAAATGCTTCAGGAGAACAGCATTTGGTAATAACTAACTTATTACCAAGTTAGGTGCTGAATAATTAACTTACAGTTTGGTCTTGTGATGATAGCCAAGTACCAAGTGTACTTGTAGGAATCATAAGGGTTAAAACATATGTTGCTATAGAGATGTTACATAATAGTGAGAACGTAGTTAACACTACTGAACTGTATACTTAAAAATAGTTAAGCTGGTAAATGTTACGTTTTTTACAATTAAAAAAGTGTTTTGACGTAGGCGTATAAGCCAAACTGTTATTTCAAGAGGTTTCCTAGGTACCATTTTGCCAGAGAGACTCCTACCTGAAAGCCTGAGCTGTAATGCCTTTAAGATTTGAGTTTCTGTACTGGATTTAAGATCTAATATTAAGTCTGCTTAAGATGCTCCAGAAGTATCAGTAGTCAAAAGGGAGCCAAGCTGTACATGAGCTCGTGGAACATGTCAAGCAAGGGTTCCCAAGCATGGCTGGGCCTGGACCAGCAACATCAACATCGCCTGGGAACAGAATACAGAATCTCAGGCCCCCGCCAGGTGAAATGAGAAACTCTGGGAGTGAGACCGTCGATCTGTATTTACTAAGGCCAGCAAGCCTATCTGATGATTCCAAAGTGTGAGAACCACTGATCCAAAGTCAGCCTGCACAGCACAGCATTGGGCTGCAGCACAGGGTTTGGGAAAAACTAGGTGGTTGCTAGTTAGGGGTTGGGCTCTAGAGTCAATGCTTGAACCTCAAGCCCTCTACATACTAGCTGTGAGTAAGCCAGATGTTGTCTCAGACCCTCAGTTTCCTCATCTGTAAAGTAGATCTCCCCCACAGGGTGGCTGGGAGGACTGCACAAGCTACAGAGAGCCCATGGCACAGTGCCGGCCGGCGGCAAGCTATGTGTGCCACCTAGGTTATATGCCGGCCCAGACGTGGAGTTGGACACAACACCAGCTCCCAGGACACCTTGGGGCAGGGATCCTCGACTGTCTGTGGGCCATGGGCCATCCAGTGAAGCCGTCGAACTCCCTCTCAAAAGAATGTTTTTAGAGGCATAAAGGAAAATACATTAAGATTACGTAAAAAACTAATTATACATATTAAAAATACACATTATCAATGTTAAAATAATAAACGTGTGATATAGAAAGGAAAAAGGGTAGCTTGTTCTGTGACATGGAGCAATACTACAGCTGAAGTTGGTTTTTCTACCTCTAACTATCAATGGCATGTAATCGACAATTCAGTTGCCTTCTTGAAACAGACACAGTGCCTCTAATTTCGGAGAATGCGTAGCAGTACATAACTGATTAGTTTTCTCTCCTCTCCCCATCCCATCCTTTGTGTCTACCACCAGGGTCCAAGCGCCATAGAGGACCTCTTTAAAGAACTGGACAAGAATGGAGACGGAGAAGTTAGTTTCGAAGAATTCCAGGTGGTACTGAAAAAGATATCCCAGTGAAAGAAAAAACAAAATGATACCATTCTGATCACCAAGAGAAGAGCACCTGAGATGCAGCCCTATTCTACACTGGGTCCTCAATGTCTCCTTTTAAATCTTTTCAATTATAATGATCTCACAGTGATATCCAATTATTGCTAATAAAGAAATTCTTAAGACATGCCTCACCTTGTCAATTACTGACCCCCATAGGTTGATAGACTTGAAAGTAACCTTAGTCTGAATGCATTTAATTTTATCGAATAATAATAAAATAAGGTCCAGAATAGTTCCACGATCTTGACAAAAATGGTGTCAGAGACCTGGAAAGAATTCGAACGTGCCAAACCAAGTCCCTCACTCCACGATTCCGCCAGAATAACCCTGTCCTTGCTCTCCCTCCCTGACCACTTCACGCTCACATCATTGCCAATTTCAACTCTACTCAACAGCTAGTGAGAAACAGACTTCAAAACACAGACGCTTGTCTAGAAAGTCATCTCCCAACACTTGCTGTGCTTTTTGAATCAATGACCCTCTCGGGAAATAGAAGGAATATAGGACCAAGATTCAGTTCTGCTCCATCACCAAGGGGGTGGCCTTGGTTCTAGTATGTGATGTGCAAAATAAAAGGGACAGGAAGACCTAGGGGCCTCCCAGCTCTGCCACCCTGCGCTGCTGGGACTCTGGGCATCTGAGAAACAAACAGCTCGCCCTCAAGTTCCCCTTGCTGAGTCTGGCTGGGGACAAGGGCGGGGGTAGGGGGGAAGGGCAGAGGAAGTATGGGAAGGGAATTTAACCAAAAGGAAAAGAAAACTGAGTTCTAACCCTTCCATCAAGAAACAAAGGAAACTTTTATACACAGTGAGGGAAGGTTTAAATAAAATTTAGATCATTCTAATTCAACACAAGCGCATTCTCATGGCATCAAAAGCCTTAAACATTTCTAATGACTAATTATATTCCACTGTATGGATACCCCATAGTAGTCTTAACTATTTCCCCATTGTGGGGCATTCAGATTATTGCCATTTCTGATTCTTCTAAATAATGTCATAATGAGTACCTGTACATATCTCTGTCAACACATCAGATTTCCCTAGGAGAATTTCTGGGAAGTAAATGTCTGAGTCAGAGGGTATGAATATTTTTATGGTTTGCAAAACAGACCACCTAATTGATTTTCCAAAAGGTTGTACTGATTCATATTTCTACGAACAGGCGAGAGAATGCCAGCTTCACTCCCCAGACAGCACTCGTCAGTCTCATTTTAACTTCAGCAGGTCACATTAGTGCACATCTGTTATTTGTTTCTGGTTTTAGTAGGAATCTTCTACTATTTCTCCAATGAGTTTACTGTTGGATATTGGTTTATAAAAGACATTCTTTCTTCTGTGTAAGAAGTACTCTTCGCTTCCTGGTTTGTTACGAGATTGTGAGCACCAGGGTGTAGGTACTATAGACAGCAGATTGAGCATCTGTGGTGATGTGAGGGTTCTCTCTTTTGTTTGATCAATATGATGCGTTAATCGATTTAATTCCCGAGACACACTGCCCAGTCGTGACCAATTAATCTTTAATGCTTTTAAATTACACACTCTAATATTTTACTTACGATTTTCACATCTTTATTAATAAGCAACACTAGTCTACAGTGTGGAGTTTTGTTTTCTTGTTGCATATGCTTTGTTGAGTTCTAATATCCAGGTCATTCCGGCTTCCCATTTTAGCCTATGTTCTAATCTCAATGAGCCACTTGCAGAGCAAATAAACATTATCTCTTTCAACTCCGACATATACAAAGTACCTACTATGGGCAAAGCATTACACAAGATGCCTTAAGAGATACCCCTTTCCAGGCCTCTGAGATCCTAAGTCAGTAAGTCTGGGATCAGGCCAGGGAAAGGCTTAATTGAGGAAGCAGTATTCAAGTGGGATTTGTAGGAAGAGCCTTGAGGGGAACCTGCAGGGAGGGGGTAGCAAAGGGCATTCAAAAGGAGGGAAAATCCCACTCCCAGTAAACACATCACGTCCAAGTGCAAGGCAGTTCAGGGAACGTACGCACCGTATCTTCGGCGTAAAGCCAGCTATGAGGAATAAAGAGGGCACACTGGCTTCAGACCATGAAAGTCCCTGGTTGCCACGCTAAACGAAGGTCAGAAAGGGAGCAGGAAGGTAGGAAGGTGTAGGAGTCACAGAGTGACATGAACGTGCTTTAGGAAGATGAGGCGGCACCAAAAAAGAGTCTGCAGTGGGGAGGAGGGGAGGCGGTCGCAGAGTGGAGGCCAGGGCTAGGCAGGAGGCCTCTAAGGCAAACTGGGTAAGCTGGGAAGGCCTCAAGGGAACAATGGTGACGCACGGGAAACACACTGGAGAAGTACCCCTCTTCCTGGCTGACTTGGACAAATCAGTGTTTGAGGGTTAACCCTCAGGAAGGGTGAAAACATAGGGAGCGTTGTTTGTGGTGTCTGTATGTGCATGGTGTGTGCGTGTCTGTCTATTTCATCGTCCTTGGCCTGGCTTCCAACATGGATCTCCTCTCCCACATCCAACAGGATCCGTCTGAATTTCCTCTTGAATCAACAGTACCAGCATCTTGTCAGCCACAGAATTGCAATCCTCGGTAGACTGTAGGCTCCACCAGGACTAGCATTTTTATCCATTGTTTCACCGACGCATCCTCAAGTCTAGATCCGGGCCTGGCACATGGCAGAGGCTCAAGAGCTATTTCCTGAATGAAAAATTCTTAACTATCCAGTCACTAAATCTTGTTGATTCATTCCATAAAGTTGATCTGCCACCCGGATCCTTAGATCACAGACGGAGGCTGCCGTAATGCTCAACCACACGCCTTGCCTGGACTCTTTTCTCCCCTCTCAGCCCTCTATCTCTCGTGCCAGCTGAATCTCCCTAAAGCACCCATTCTATTGGAAAGCCTTCGGTAACAAGTATGATATTAGCATAACATGTCACAGTTGGCAGGGGTTATCTTACTGGTTCCCTATCGTCTTCAGGATTAATTTTGACGCTGACACTCCAGGGCCTCCAAAATCCACACTAACCTCCTTTATTTCCCTTCGCTTCCCTGTAGGGCCATGTGCTTCAGCCAAGCTACTCTGTATTCTATGACCAAATCTTGGACATTCCAGCCTAGCACACGCCTCCCCTTCTTTCTATCGTCTCCAAGCCTTTGACGATCTTCCCTTCTTACTCTAAGCCACAGAACTTTTTCCCAACGGAATTCTTATCTAAGATCTACCTGTGCTATGTGATACCCCCGACCACTAGATCAGGTGGCTACTGACATTTAAATTAATGAAGATAAAATAAAATTTAAAATTCAGTTCCTCAGCCACACTAACTACATTTCAAGTGCTCCGTAGCCCCATGTGGCCAGCAGCTACCATAGTGGATGGCACAGTTACAGACTAGTTGACAGCGCTGGGAGCATTAATGACAGCATACTCGCGTACTGCCCATATACTTGGTTCCATGTTTCACTGGTCTATGCTTCGCATCACCAACTAAACTGAAATACACTGTTTAGGACTGCACTTAAGTGGACAAGCTCCAAACATACAGTGACTGTTTTCTTTTTAATAATTTCTTTCCGTTAGCATCCAGTTATTTCTAGTGCAAAACAAAAAAAATCTTTAAAGTGGTTGAAATACCTATTCTTAAGGCATTTCGCATTGAGTTCAAGGTATAAAATCTTTAAAATGCATTAGCTTTGAAGTACTCATTTAGTCATTCATTGTTAAAATTATGGACTCCTCTTATGGTTCACTAATGGGGCCTTACTCCTGGCAGTGCTGTCTCTTTTCCAAAAGTAGACCTGGCTGGGGGTACGGTCAGGTGGAAAAGATGCGCTATCTATTAGGCAGTGGCTATCATGCCTGGAAGAATCTTTCTTTCTCCAGACAGAAAGCAGTTACTATGGCCAACAGCCTCATACAGACTCTGAACCTATCATCCTCACCAAGACAGGATTAAATGGCTATTAGGCTCCCAGACTAGTCCATAAAAGGCTATTTTACTTGTATAGCTGTCCTTGACAGCTGCTTTTATGGGATAAATGTTCTTTAGCCCCACTAAGCTCCAAATGACTTTTGTAAGGTCGTTTTGTTAGTTGGGAGATGTTCACTACGATGTTCCAAATGCAAAGCAGTCTTCAAAGTAATAAATGTTGCCTAAAAAATTACTCTACGTGGCCATCTGGTTTTTTTTTTTTTTTAACACCTCTTAATTTGCTTTCCATGTAAAATTGTTGAAAAATAACATGGAAGAAGAAAATATTTCAAACAGGGCTTCAACTAAAGGTAGGAAAATGTTATGCATTAATATGCTTAATGAATAACACAAATTACTCTTCACCTGAACTGACTTTCAATTATTTGTGACTATTTCACAAATCTAGTGTGTCAGATGTAAAATTAATTTTAACTTTGAAAAAGGTATAAAAGAAGTCACATCTATGATAAATAACTAAAGATGAAATGCTATCAAATATCTCAATCTCAAATTTTCATTAAAATGCTTCAAATTTCTCACTTTTTCTTACCTATCCCACCATCCGAGTGTGCATGTGTGTGAAGATGGAACACAGGTTCTGTTTTCAGGATGCTATATCTTATGTAAACTCAGATTTAAGTTACTGTTTTCAATAAACGGAAAAGAAACGCTAAAAATTAAGCATATCCAATGCCATGTCACTCCAACCCTCAGAAAGGCAAATATTAAAAGCTGAAAATACCAAGTGTTGGCAAAGATAGGAGAAATTGGAGCCTCAAACTTTGCTGGTGGGAGTATAAATATTATAACCGCTTTGGAGAGTGATTTGGTATAACTAGAAGTTAACAGAAGAGCACACCCTTCGACAAAGTCATTCCTCTAAGACTATATTTTAGATTGGAACCATTTGCATGTATGTACGTGGATACCCATATAGGAATATTCATTGCAGCATCGTTTGTCAAAACAAAATTTGGAAGCAATTTAAGTATCCGTTAATGGAAAAATGGAAAGACAAATTAAGGCATTGCATAAAATGTAATATTATTAAAATTAAAATTTTAAAAATTAAGCATATCCACATACCTAAACAGTAGATAGAGATCCTTTTCCTACACGAGTCTCAAAAGCCAAAGATATTCTAAATATAAAGTCCACAATGCCATGAACTATCCTCCACTTGAACTGGAGAGGTCTAAAGCCAAATTCAAGGTCAAGGGTGTCAGCAGCAACCATGTGATTGATATAGAGCCAGAATGCAAGTCAGCTAGCTACAGCTGTGTTCCTGGTAAGCATCCTCTAGAAGGCAGGTAAAGCTACTTTGAAGCAGGCCAAAGAATCAGACTTGCTGCAGAGCCCTAAATTCCTGCAAAATCTCAGAGTCTTCTATTTCACCTTGTGGATTAAGCACAGAAATGACACAATAAATTAAATTTTACTCACTCTCTCCTGGTACTCTCAGACTCAGAGTCTACTTTCACTCTTAGAGAAAAATCTATTTCTCCTTTTATGTGTATAAGAGACACCTCCAGTTAGATATGTCTTGGATGCCAGTGTCTCTACCGATTTCATATGCAACGGTGAGACTAATTATGCATGCCAAAGGTGGGCCATGATGGCCCATGAAGGGGATCAGAATTTAACACCCCCAAATATGTCTCTTTGACATAAGAATTACTTTGAGCTGATTATTTTTAAGAAACAGCAGAGAAGCTCTGAAAACCAAGAAGTTACCCTTTTTCTAAGAGACATTTACACTTCTAAGGGAAATCTCCATTTGTAAGGGTGTCTCCCTCTCTGTACCAGGAAGAGGACTGACCGTTAAGCCTCTAGAACCGCTCATCAATGGAGAAGGCAAGATCTTAATCTGCATAACGATCTGTCCCTTGTTTTCTTCTTTTCCCCGATAACCTCTCATAACTGACTCTCCTAACCTGCTCCCCCTAAAACAACTTCTTTTGTCTTTAGCTGGAGATGGTGTTTAAGTTGCTGGCCTCGGCCGTTTAGGGGAGTTACTCAGTTTTCGTCTCTCCCATACACACAGGAGGGATCCATGTTATTAAACTGCTGCTTGTTTTTCTCCTGCTAATCTGTCTTTGATTACAAAGGGGGGTGGTCTCACCCAGGAACCTAGAAAAGTAGAAGAAAAATGATTTTTCATCTCCCATACCCATGAAACAGATTTTGGCAGCAAATATACCCTAAAGGAGGCTGCTGGTTTCCAAATTATTTACTTTTTTAGCTAGCGGGGCCAGAATGGCCATTACTCGCTGTAAGTCATTGTTATTTGCTCAAGTTTAAGTGATTCCCCAGGCTTCCTGGTGTTTGCTGCCTGGTGATTCTATTACCTTGGTCTTTTTCTTTAATAAGACTTCTCACCATCATCGCAAATGCTGGCTCTTAAGGCTATTTTTCTCTGACAAACTGATTGCGGGCCATAACGATGTTCAGTAGCAATTAGGTTTTATTGTTCTCTTCTCACTTATGAGTATAGACGTTTTCAAAATGTAAAACGCACATATCCTCTGACTTAGCAATTCCCCTTCTAGGAATTCATCCGAGTGTGGAGGTGTGGGTACAAAGACATACGTAAATGGCTACTAATCTGCAGCATGATTTAAAGTAGCAAAAGAATGGACATAACCTAAATATTCGTCAGTATGAGACGGATTAAACAAAAATGATGCAGGCAGCAGGGCAAGTTGGTGGAAGATCCCTGTGCATTGATGTGGAGCGATCAGTACAAAGAGCAAGAGGAAACAGTGTCTCAAGCGCGCTGACATATGTATTTGTTAAAAAGGAAACACATATCCACATATGTGTGTGGGTAGGTGGGTGCACATACACACACAACCAGTAAAAGGCAGTCATCAAAGAATGTTGCCAAAGCGATGTAACAGTGGCACCTACTGGTAAAATCATTTCCTATTCCAAAGTATTATCTTAAAAAAACAAAACAAAACTCATGATTTGCCGGCACAGCCATTTCGGCCAATAGTCAGGAAATATGTTTATATTAAAGCTTCATAAGGAACTCTTCATTAGTATTAGGTCTTCTGAGCATAAAACTTAAGAGTATCATCTGGCTGGGGAGTTATGGTTCATTAAGGTTTGGACTGTTAGCTGTAAAAGGAGTGAAGAGTATCCCCATATCCTTCCATGGAGTGGTCTCCAGCATATAATGTTAAGTGAAAAAAGTAGACAAAAAAAATGTACAGAGTATACTACCATTTATCTAAGAAGAGGAGGGGGTTACAAGCAGACATACAGGCTTACTTTAAAAAATGGAAAGATAACTGATAAAAAAAAAAAATAAGAATTAATGGCTGCCACAAGGGAAGGGAGAGGTTAGGTTGAAGGCGAGAGAAATACGAGTGGATTTCTCTAAATTAGTGGTTCTTAATGGGGGCTAGTCTGCCTGTGCTCCCAGGGGATGTGCTCCAATATCTGGAGGTGGTTTTTTAGGGTTACAATTGAGGGTTGGAAGAAATGTACTACTGACATCTAGTGGGTGGAGGCCAAGGAGGCTGCCGAACATCCTACAGTGCACAGGACAGACCCACCACAAAGAATTACCCGATCCACGTAGTGCAAATTATATATCTAATAAGAAACCTGTATCTAGAATATATCAAGAATATTTACAATTTAATAATAAAAAAACCAAATAACCTGATTTAAAAATGTGCAAGGGATCTGAACAGCCATTTCTCCAAAGATGACATGCAAGTGGCCAGTAAGCACATGAAAAGATGCTTGACAACCTAAGCCATCAGGGAAATGCAAATCAAAGCCACAATGAGATGCAATTTTATGCCCATTAGGATGCCTAGAATCAAAAAGACAGACGATAGTGAGTGTTAAGGATGTGGATAAATTGAAGCCCTCATATACTGCTGGAAGGAATGTAAAATGTTGTGGCCACTTTGGAAGTCAGCCCAGTAGTTACTCAAAAGGTTAAACATACAGTCAACACAGGACCCACAAGTCCACTCCTAGGTGGATATATCCCCATGAAATGAAAATATGTTTACACAATAACTTGCACACAAAGGTTCATTGTAGCAGCACTATTCATAACAGCCAAAAAATGAAAACAATCTGAACATCCATCGATGACCGAATGGGTTAATAAAATGTAGTATGTCTACATAATGGGATATTATTCAGCAATAAAAAGAAGCAAAGTACCTGATAGATGTTACGATGTACTCAGATCTTGACAACATTATGCCAAGTGAAAAAAGCCAGTCACAAAAGGCCGCATATTCTATGATTCCATGAAATGTCAGAACGGGCAAGCCCATAGAGACAGAAAACGGATTAATGATTGCCCAGAGCTGGAGCCAAGGGAGGAAACTAGGAGGCTTGGGGTATCAGCTAAGGGATGGGGGGTTTCTTTCAGAGTAATGAAAACAGTTCAAAATTGATTGTGGTGATGGTTGCACAGATCTGTGTATATGCTAAAAGCCACTGAATTATACACTTCAAGTGGCTAAATATCATGGCATGTGAATTATATCTCCATAAAGCTGTTAAAAAGAAAATCAAGTATAATGGTGAGGTGTACACTCTGACAGAGGTGGGTACAAGGCATTAGAGGCGTTCAGAATAGGTCGTTCCGATCTGTGCCTCTGCGGTATGCGAACTGTTTTCAGCTAAAGGCAGTGGAGACACTGCAGGCTCAAGATGATCTTCTGTCTCCTCTCCTTAACTATGGAGAAGAATTTGAATTAGGGGCCTTGCCCTTGCCCATACTAAGAGATTACTAGGAATCACCGTTTTTTAAATCTATCTATAGGGCAGGACAATCTACTTATTACTAAACATCCGTTCTTCTTACTGTTCTGTGAAGGATCGTCCTTCCCTCCAGAAGCCCCAGGCACCGTACCTCATCCTTAGGTCAGAATGCCATCTCTACCTCATTTTCCCTTTCTGTCTCTACACTTCTCCAGTAAGCTGGGTTTCCAGACGTACGAACGTAATTAAATTTGAGTACTTTCTCTTGTTACTGTCTCGTGTTGATTTAATTATTACACCAGACAGAAGAAGTGAAAGGTAGAGGAAAGTTTCTTCCTCCCCAACAGCACAGATGGCAGAAGCTCAGAAAGAAAGGTCAGGAAAGGCCTCTCGGGATGAACAGGAAGTTGTCGGTCATTGGGTTTGGTTTATTTTTTTAATGAAATTCTTTGCTGGTTTTATTGAGATTCCAGGGGGAGGGAGGCTGCAGAAGGGGGACATCTCAGGTGTAAGGAATCTCAGGACACATCTAAAAAACTTGCTCGGATTATCCAAACATAAACCCCAAGCATGGGAGGGATGGGGATGCCATGGATTGAATTAACAAAGCAGCAGGTGACAGAGCACAACAGCCTTCGCTCCCAGCCAAGAACCTTGAACTGAATATTTTACAGGAAAAGGAATCAGTTGAAGACGAGGAGCAGCAGCAGAACAAGTGTCACTTTTGTTTTAGAAAGACAGATGACTGCCAGTGTGGAAACTAGACAGACAGGGATAAGTCTAAGGACAGCCAGCCCATTTATTTATACTCACTGTTATTAATGGTCACAGTCAACTTAATCCTTCCTAAACATTAAGCTTGCAAAGAGAAAACAGTCCAGGATCGTGTCTTTCTTCAAGACATGGCTGACAAGATGGACTTTTGAAAACAAAGCAATTTGATGTAAAAATAATAATAAAATCATATATAATTCTAAATGTCCTAATAGTGTAATGAAAGGAAAAAAAAAAAAAAAAAACAGCCTCTTATGAGTTTAGGCAAGAGCCAGAAACAAAATGACAACGACCCAACTCAGAAAGGTAAACAAGCTACTTACCACAGGAACATGAGCATTTGGCTCAAACTCTGTGGAATCGGCATCTGAAGATTAAGAAATGAGTTCAAAAATTCACCAATATTGCTGAACAATATCTTAAGTAAAAAGACTTTTTTAAAATAAAAGGTTATTAGCAAATCTCAGACTTACCTTTCAAGTTAAGGCAGTTCCTCGCAAACTCTATCACTGCTAGTTGCATCCCGAGACAAACTCCTATTTTAAAAGCACATAGATAAAGCATATGAACATATTTTATATTGCTTCATATTTTCCGTTCGTTTGTTTGCTGTCTGTCTCCTCCATCTAGAACTCAGGCTCTGAGAGAGCAAGACTCTGCCTGTTGGTTCACTGCTATGCCCTGCGTGGTCAGAACGTCTGTGGCAGGGGCAGGGAAGGGGGTTAGATGACCCGAATTTGAGGAAGAAATGAATTCCAGGTCTGAAAAGGGCAGGAAACGATAGGGTAAGCTCCAAAAGGCAAATCTGGACCCCTCCAAATTTGTCTCTAAATCGAGGTACATGGTGGGCTCCGAGGCTGTCCCACAGCACCTGAGTCCTTCAGTAAATATCTAACAACACCCAAGTCCAGAAGGAGACTTCACACCCCCCCGTTCTTGGTTTCACAGCCTTAAATACTGGCTTTGCCTGAGGGCAGCCTCAGGTGGCCAGCGGGCTGGGATCTGAGGAGCCCCACAGGTGGGCAGGGGCGCCCAGAACAGCCCCAGTAACCTCACTATAGGAAAATGGCAGCAGCTGGAGGAGCTGGCACCTCCACTTGTGGGCCTGAGTGTGGTGAAGAGCAGGGCGGGGCGATGCCCAATGGAGCTGAACAGAGCTCAGTGAGAAGGAAAAGAGACCTGTGTAGCCCCAGGCCTGTTGCTACAGGGATGCAGCCTTCACTCATCTCCAAATTCACTGCGGCCCACAATTCACTCCACTAAACAAATGCCGAGGAGCATTCCAGATGCTCTGAAAGACGTATCCGAAGTGCAGGAGGGATTCAAAGGAGAAAGCAATCAATATAGCAGGCATGCCAGAACGAGTCGGTAAGTATGAGAGAGCTGAGTGCTTTCGGGGGACTTGAGAGACTCCCACGTGGCTAGGACATAAAGATACACTGTGTTAAAGAGAAAGCTACGGAGTTGAGAACTGTCCTATACAGGGAAAATAACCTGAATGACACTGACCATGTTCAGACAGAAAGAACACATTACTTCACAAGAAAACAATGGCCCGGACGAGCTTAGACAAACAAAACGAGGCATCAGGTAACTTCCCTTTTGAAAACGGATGCCAGTGGAGAGCATCTAGGAAGCTAATCGAAGAACAAAGGCCATGGAGAAAATGAATAGCTCGCTGAGAGTAGAAGGTACTGAAGCCTGTCTACTCGGTCTGTAAAGCCAGCAACACATCCAAGCACAGTGTTAGCTGCGCCTCTCCCCACCCCCTGACCGAATCCCACCTGCAGGGCTTCCTTTATCCCACCAAGAATCCATTTCATCCGGTTTCACTGGCACAGAAGCCACGCTTTGCCACTCGAACGAGAGCATTAAAAAGACTCAGCTCCACCAACTTTTAACACAGCTGTTCCTGTACTATTGGATGGTCTTTCCGTATTATCTTTTCGAGAGGGAGCATATAAATTTTAACTCGAACTTTTTTTTCTGATTAGAAAGAACATTGTGGAGTTCTGCTGAATGGTTCTGTGCTCGAAGTGGTAAAAGATGGATTTGGGTTGGAATCGGAGAAAGTAAGGGCAGGTATGGACAGCCACTTCTCCCGGCCTCTTGCTACCAAACCAGAGCATGAATAAGTTCTCCTAGGTCGACAAACTCTTTCTTTAAAAGGCCAGAGAGTAAAGCATTTAGGCTTTGCAAGCTGTAGGGTCTCCGACTCTGCCACCGTACCACAAAAGCTGCCGTAGGCAATATATAAACAAATTGGCATGGGTGTGTGTCGATAAAACTTTATTTACAAAAACAGCCCACGAGCCAGGTATGGCCTGCAGGATACAGTTCACTGACCCCCGTCACAGACTATTCGGTGCCTGAATACTCAAATGTGAGTTCATACTTTTCACGTTAACAAACCCTATCAAGTGTCACCCCTACTTGGTGTCCAAAGTCTAATAAACTCATAGTTAGGATCCATAAACATGAGTTTTACCCAGAAAAGGAATCTTCTTTGCCCTTGCCCAAGAAATCGCCTGGAGTTTTCCCAATGTTCCTCTGATTCCGAAGCCTCCTGGCACAAGAACACCACTGCAATCAACACAAGATGAGGGTGAATTTGACATTATTTTTATTTGTAAAACTCTTGTTTGCAGCCTTTTATGTTTGCCGATCCCCAGTCCAACACTAGAGCATATGCTCGAGGTCTATATTCAGAACAGATTGCATGAACTGACATCCTGAACTTTCTTCTTGAAATTCTCCCAACGTATGAAGAAGCTGCAGTAATTTCTCACAACTGACCTCAATATGTATTTTCTGATAGGTCTTTGTGGCAAGATCATAGTGACGGAGAAACTCAATTCGATTAAAAATGCCACTGAGAATTATCTGAATAAAAATAGCTTATGGGTTTTTTTTTAAAGCACTACTATAAAAATGTTAAGATCTCTTACATAATCAGAAAGAGTTAAACTGGTAAAATCAATCTAAGATTTCAATCGCTAATTAACTAGAGCACAGGGAGATTTCCTTGTTAGAAGACACTTTAGAGACCTTGTAGACAAACTCATTTGAAAAGACAAGAGTTCAAGAGAAAAACTGGCAGAGTCATGCTACCCTCATGATACGATGCTGCCCCCAAGAGTTCTGTCGATTACTTAGGAAATAAAAACAAGAATCAAATGACGTGGAAAAGAAAATATAACCAAGAGAGAAGGGTTGTCATCTTTGTACTTTAACTTTGTGTAAGATCCATCTCTGCATCTTTCAATACGATCAACACACCTTCTCTCCAAAACAGGACCACCGCCCTCCCCCAAACCAAACCATGTCATTGCACATGCCACTAACATCAACGTGGCACATCGCAAAATAAATGCGGTGTGAACATATCACAACCAGCCATAATGACCGCAAGTACTCCAGACTACCTTTCAAAATGCACAAAAATTAGTAATTGCGGTCAATGAAATCATTACAGAAAAAGCACAATGGCATTTTCCTAACTGGCGTGGACGGTCCCCAGGACTCACTCAGCTTTGCATAGCTTCTGCCACGCTTCGTGGAATTTCACAGGGTCCTCAGCTTCAGTGGTGTGCTCCAGATCAATGGAGTCGATGTACTAAAAAACATCCAACAGATTAAAGGAACATTTCAGAAAGTACGTTAAGAAATATTAGAACTATCGAACACTATGACATAGTTTTTCAATACCTACTTGTTATGTAAATACTGTACTGGACGCCTGGGACAGAAACGCAAGATCTCTGTGTTACGGTTCTTATAATCTTTCAGGAAGAGTACAAAACCAGATAAACAGGCAGCGATATCACAGTGGGGTAATGGCTATAGTGAGCAAGGAAGAGACTGCTGAGGAAGTAACCAGGAGCCACACTGATCTAGACCTGGACCCTGGAGGACGGAAGGGAGGGAGCATCATCAGGGAAGACTGCTGGGGAGGTGACGTCCAAGAAGCTAGGCCCTCGAGGATGAGCGGAAGCAAGACGAGCATGTGCGTGCACATTGGGAGGCAGGTGGGAAGGTGTGTGAGAGGCAAAGGGAGATGAAGGACCAGCGTGTATGAAACCTCACAGGAAACAGAGGAAGTAGTAGCCACCCCGGGGGCCCTCAGAAGAGGCTGCACCCAGCCGGAGAAATTTACACTTGAGGCCACGGAAAGGTCTTAACTAAGGGGACAATAGGAACAGAGAGTGATTTTAGAAGGATCGCTCTGGTACAGAGTTTGAAATGGAGGGAGGACTGGAAAGCAGTCGGGAAGGTGATGCAGTAAAGCAGGCGCACTTAACACAGCAACAGACTGGACTTTAAGAGAATACGCCAAAATAAATCAATAAATAATTTTTTAAAAAAGAAAAGAATATGCCGAGGCTGTGACTCAAAGAGTACTGAGTAGAACATAATATCAAGAAACTGTATTAAATGAAATATCGTGTGCACTTCCTACATATGTAACAGTCTCTACGTATCTGTTATTTTAGCGTTTCTTTTGTAAAAATTACTATCTGATTATATCTTAAGGTACAAAATTGTGAAGGCTTTACAAAGTTTGTATATAACAATTTTTCTATTGCTCTTTTTTTTCCTCTTGGAGGAGTAGGAAAAACGGGAGGTAAAATATTCTCTGGAAAGCCAAAAATAAAAAGTAGTTAGAAAAGGAGGTTACAAAGACGTGAGAGAAAAGGCAGATAGGTCCTAAGCTGATGTCTAAGTGGAAGTTACTAAATTTCTTGGAAATATAAATGTATCTTTTTGCTCATTATATAAAGGTATTACTATTTAAATCAAGAATAATAAGGCTTGCTTGAACTCTGAGATATCCATACATAATATAATTAAATATAAACGTTTATAGATAGAGAAAAGTCTAGAAAGATACGCATCAAACTGGGAATGACAGGTACAACAGAGAAGTAGGATTTCAGGCAGGACAAATCTTTTGCTTTCTGCATTTTACATGATGTCTTTTAAAAATTTTCTACACTTAGCGTATACTACTTCTACAACTAACAAACGCAAAGAATATACTCGACCTATATATGATAACTCCACCTCTACTCTCCCATACTGATTTGACTGAATTTGTTTAAATTTATTTTGACTTTGGCTATTAGGCATGTATTGCAAACAGAACATCTGGGGTATGAGAAGCTGACCCAGACCCACATCTGTTCCTGGCTGGAGGTAAGGCAGTCTCTCTCTCCACGCCCCATGCCAGGCCCCGGTACTGCAGACCCGAGGACAGAGGGCCCCCACACACTGAGGTAGCTGCATCTTAAGCCCCCCAAGTATGACTCCCCAGGCTTGCCTAATTCCCACACAGACCCAGGCCAGGAGAGGAGAACACCGATTTTAAAAAACAAATAATCACTGTTTGCCAGATACCACTCCTCCGAGTTCAAAAAGGCAACATAGCATTTTTAAAAATCGGATTTAATTCCAATGCTAATTATTTTCTTATTAGGCAAATACGATGTACTTAAATGAGTATGAAGTATATATGGCCCTGGATGTGCAAAGCCTAATTTCAGAAACTGTGCCTTAAACCTGTAGGCAGAACAAAGTGAACACGGCAAGCCCGATCGTTACCCTTGGAAAGGCTTGCTTACAAGGCTGGACCTTGGCTGGCATCTTGAAACTTGGATTTGGGAAGGGTTCCTACCATTCCCAGAACTGATAAGAGAGTGGCTCATTGTGCCTACGGAATTTATAGAAACAACACAATTTATGCCGATCGGCTGCTTTTTCTCTGGGAGTCTGGAATTTTGGTACTCAAGTCTCTAATGAGCTTCCCTGGCAGACAGCACTTCACACCTGTTGTCACAGCTCGTTGCTGGGGGAATTAAACCGCATCCTCTGTGACTTCCCTGCGGGAGGACTCCTGGAAGTTGCACCCAGACTTGATCCTGTGTGTCTTTTCCCTTTGCTGATTTTACTCTGCATTCTTCCACTGTAATTAAGCTTAGACATAAGTCTGACTATATGCTGAGTCCTCCTGGAGAATCATCAAACCTGGAGGTGGTCTCGGAGATCCTTCAATACTACCTGCCTCTGAAGCACAAAATATCAGGGTGAATGATTGAAATATCTGGAAGACTAGTCCGGAGCTCACCATCAGATTCAACTTGTGGTTGATGGCCAAGGCTGAGTGTTCCAGGGCTTTGAACACAGAGGCATAGCAGTCTCTGAGCTTGGTGTATTTACCAACCAGGGCTATGGAGCACGTTTTCTGTAACCTTTCATACCTGGGAGGGGAGACGAGTTTAAGGTTATACGCATGGAACATAATATCACAAACATAATGACAGCCACCGTTCTTATCCCAAGGTACTTTTCAAAACCTTAGAAGAGGAGCCTTGAACTTGATGTATTTGACTCCAATCTCCACCCCACCACCAAAGAACTAAAATCTGTATGCCGACAGATTTCAAAATCATAAGAAATTCCAATGTTGGTTTACATAAGCCGGCACAGATATAAATCAAGAGAAAAAGTTAACAGCATTAAAAATATGAAAAGCTGTCTGCATCTCATAAACATGAACTGTCCTTAAATTCATTTACAAGGTGACATCGTATAAGAAAATGCATTCTGAGTGTCAATATGAAACATTCCAATATTAACTTTGTAAGGTGACATTATATAAGAAAATGCATTCAAAGTGTCTACTTTAAAAATTGTTACATTCCCAGCTGGCCCACAAAAGCCAGGTTATTCATGGCATGACTAAAGAACGGTGCTAAGAGAACTACTTAAAATGTTACAAGGCGTTTAGATCATTTTTATGAGAAAATTCCATTCTATATAAAACGCTCAATCACATTTTACCATTAGAGACACAATCTTCGATGTTGCTTTTGTCAGGAAATCTGTTCAAAGAATATGAAAAAATGTCTGGTCTGATACTAAGTAAGTGGAAATGTCATCTTGGGGCTGAAGATATTTTAAAGCTTGAAAGCAAATCCTTCCTCTAACACCTTAGAACAAGAATGTTACTGTGCTGAGGAATATTCCTCATTCATATCAACATCTGCAAAGAATACAAGAGCAACATGACGGTAAAAAGGCTGGGAGGAGAGAAATGCATAAGAAGTCAAAATCGACAGTAAAGGTGACTTTCTAGAAAGGTGACTGAAGTACCCGAGAGAA